TTATACTTCATACACTTATTCAGTTGCTCAACATAAGAAACATTCCCAGCCCTAGCCGGTTTGGCTCAGTGGATAGAGCATCGGCCTGTGGACTGAAGGATCCCAGGTTCGATTCCCGTCAAGGGCACATGCCTAGGTTGCGGGCTCGATCTCCAGTAGAGGGCAGTCAGGAGGCAGTCAGTCAATGATTCCCTCTCATCATTGATGTTTCTCTCTCTCTCTCCCTCTCCCTTTCTCTCTGAAATCAATAAAAATATATTAATATTAGTATATTAATGTTTATTGCATGTAAATGGCTAATTATTTTGTATTATATATATATAATATATGTATATATTATATATATATTAAAGAAAAAGAAACATTCAGTCCTATCAAGAATTTTTGTGAGTTTATTAGAGCCAAACTGTCAACAATTCCCTGGAAAGCAAAACCTCAACGGATTAAGATAATACTCCAGAGAATGTCAGTTACACTTTTCTTAAAATATATTTTTATTGATTTCAGAGAGGAAGGGAGAAAAAGAGAGAGGATCATTGATTGGCTGCCTCCTGCATGCCCTCTACTGGGGACTGAGCCCACAACCCAAGCATGTGCCCTGACCGGGAATCAAACCATGATTTCCTGGTTCATAGGTTGATGCTCAACCACTGAGCCAAGCTGGTCATGGGAGAAAGGCAGTTTTGCATCTTATTTTATACATTACAATCAGAAGATGCAAGTGGGTTACATGAAGTTCATTGGTGATAGATTAGGGAGGTGGAGAAAGCAAAGCCAGGAAGCCTCTGGGATTGAATGAAAAGTAAAATGATAGACACATCTTATACCTAGGACCTAGGTGGATACAGGATAGTTAACACTTAACAATTACATGGCAACAATAACAATGAGAGGATTTATGGTCTCCACCAGGGTGGTTGGTTGTGTCCTGAGGGTCTGGAATGAAAGGGAGTTACCCTGACATTCCAAAGGAATGTTCTGGCAGACACAGACGCATCAGAGAGAGGCTGACTTTTGTCAGGGAAGTTTCTAGCCTAGGACATGACTACCTGCCATAAACTGCTTTTAGTTAAAAAGTTTTAATTTCACCCTGACTGGTTTGGCTCAGTGGATAGAGCGTCGGCCTGCGGACTCAAGGGTCCCAGGTTCGATTCCAGTCAAGGGCATGTACCTTGGTTGCGAGCACATCCCCAGTAGGGGGTGTGCAGGAGGCAGCTGATCGATGTTTCTAACTCTCTATCCCTCTCCCTTCCTCTCTGATAAAAAAAAATGTTTTAATTTCAGACCATCTTTTGTGATTATTTTAGGTCTCTGAGTTTGCAAAGCCACCCCGAAGGCCTTTCCTGAGCTCGTCAGGTTAGCACGTGGTCCCTTTTCTTCTACGACATGTACACATAACTGTAAGAAAATTGTGTAAACACTGGTCAGGACCTAAAATCTGACCTTTGGTTTTCATTGGTGGCTGCTGTTCTTTTTGTTGTTGTTGGCTGCTGCTCTTGATAGTATGTCTTTTCTACCTAATTCTGCTTTGACTTTTTGTTCCCCAAACAAACAAACCATCCCTGATTTGTGCATTCTGAGCTGGCTCCTACAGACATAGCAGCATGATCTAAGACAAAGCAGTAACATTTAGAGTTGGATGTCCAAGGTGTTGTTTACATATTAATAATATTAGCATTTCTTTTCACTTTTCTTTGTAGTTTCTAATCTACTGCACTTGAGCTTCCTGGTCATTTGACCCCCATAGGCCCTGCTTAGGCTGGAGGCAGAATTGCAGTTATGAGCCAACTGGCACCACTGAGGTAATTTTAGCTAGTGATTCTATCAAGACAATGAAATGCTGAATAAGTAACCTGTGATAAATGGTTGTGATGTTTGTTAGAGGTTCGGATGATTTTTTTTAAATGTCTTGTAGTTTTTATTGATTTTTTTTTTGAGAGGGAGGAAAGGAGAGAGAGAGAGAGAGAGAGAGAAACATCATCTGGCTGCCTCCTGCATGCACCCCTACCAGGGATTGATCCTGAAACCTGGGCAGTGCCCTGAGGGAGAACCGGACTCACCACCCTGTTTCACAGACACTCCAACCAACTGAGCCACACCCAGCAGGGCTCAGATGATATTTTGACTGATTTAGAGCTTATTGCCAAACTGGATTCTGCTATCTTTTTATTTTTATTTTTTAAAATATATTTTTGTTGATTTCAGAGAGGAAGGAAGAGGGAGAGAGAGATAGAAACATCAACAATGAGAGGGAACCATTGATCGGCTGCCTCCTGCACGCCCCCTACTGGGGATCCAGCCCACAACCCAGGCACATGCTCTTGACCGGAATCGAACCTGGGACCCTTCAGTTCGCAGGCCGACACTCTATCCACTGAGCCAAACCGGTCACGGCCTGCTATCTTTTTAAAAAATATATTTTTTATTGATTTCAGAGAGGAAGGAAGAGGGAAAGAGAGATAGAAACATCAATGATGAGAGAGAATCATTGATTGGCTGCCTCCTGCACATTCCCCCCCTGGGGACTGAGCGGGCAATCTGGGCATGTGCCCTGACCATGACCTCCTGGCTCATAGGTCGACACTCAACCACTCGGCCACGCAGGCCTGGATTCTGCTATCTTAAAGAATAAGCTAACTTTGCTTTGGCTGTCAGGTAGTTTGGTGTCATTAACAAAGCTTTGGCACTGCGGCTGGTGGTATCCAGATAAAGTTCCATGACTACTCCTACTCTGGATGTGTAGGCATAGGGGATCTTTTTTAGCCTATCCACATGACTTTTAGACTGTTTTTTTTTGTTTTGTTACTTAGCCCATTGATTCACAGAGTGATCTGGGGCCTTCTCTTCCTTTTTGTCTTCTGTGTCCAGAAAAAATAGAATCATGAACATTTACACAGCACTGCCTGTGCTTGTAAACATTTTATACTATAAAGATTAACTAATCTTCACAAAACCCTACAAGACACCTACTGTTGTCTCCATTTTGCAGATGAAGGAGCTATGGCACAGGGAAGTTATGTACGTTGTTAAGGGTCACACTACTAGTGAGGGGAGGAGTTGGGGGTTATATTCAGGCCGTCTGGCTCCAGGACCAAATGTTGTATCACACCTACATTTTGGCAGATAGGGAATTGATCAATACATGGTACCCTAAGGATTGCTTTTTTGGGATCTGCTGCTGTTTCATTTTGTAGTGTTGTTTCCTAGTCTCCTGTCACCTAGGGGCGAGGAATGGAATTCTTGGCATTCTTTTCCAAGCCACCCTAGCCTCTAGATCTGGCTCCCTAGTTCTTGGTTGTAGTGCAAAGTTTGGCTTTGGAACCAGCCTAACCTGAGTTTAAATCCTGCCATCTCTCAACCCAATAAATATCCAATAAATACATACTGAGCTCCTAAATGCCGAATACCAGGCTTTGTACTGGGCGCTGACCATATAATAAACAAAACAATTCCTTGCTCGCATGGAATTTAGAAAAGCGAGAGAAGACTGAAAAACATAAACATATGTCAGGTGTTAAATGGTAAGAAGAAATATAAGGCAAGGGGAAAGAAACTAAGGGGAAACACCGTTTTAGAAATAATGGTTAGAACAGGTCTCTGATACGGGACATTTGAGCAAATACTAAGTGAGGGGGTATGGCCAGCTGGTGAAAAGAGTGTTCCAGGCAAAAGGCCTTGAGATGAGAGCATGATTGTCCAGTTGAAGGAACTGCAAGGCCAGTGGGCCAGTATTAATAGCAGAGTAAGGGAGAGGAAAAGGAGAAGGTAACAAGATGATTAGGATGGGTTTGATAGGGGGGAGGAGGGAGGTCAAGGATGCACCCATCTCTTGCAGGGCCTTATAGGTCAAGTTGGAGACATGTATTATTCTGAATGAGATAGGCAACCACGGCAGGGTGTCCTTGGCAAACATAATTTTGAAAGAAAACAAATCAACCCGTCAATACATATCGAGGTAACTCAATATACTGCTTGTATTTTCTTCTCCCTACTTTGGGCAGGCTGCAGCATGTCCTGCTGCTGAAGACTAAGATGTCCCATGAGCGAGCTACGGGTTTCTTGCTGTTTTGTAGGCATGGGAGTGTGGCTCCGGGAACCCGTGTCGTCACTGCAAATTTGCAGCTGAGCGCCGGCCCGCCCCAAAACGCTGCATTGGCGCCAAACGCGCGCTTCCCGGGTCTGCGGCAGCAGAGACCGCCTCGCCAGCCAGTTAGCACGAGTTTTGGCTTCGGCCGGTCCCTGCCTCCAACTCCCAGCATGCCGGTGGGCGTGGGGCCTGCACGTAGACTCCATTTCCCAGCCTGCCCCGGGGCCCGGTCGGACGTGCCGGCGCCTATAAGAGGCAGAGCGCTGGGGCCGGAGCCTATTGTTAGCCGGAGCCGGGTCGGTTCTGGGCGGCTGCTGCCGGGGGCGCCCGAGTTGCCGGAGCCGTCCGCCCTCTGCTGCCTGCGGGTCGCCCTGCCCACCCGCCCTCCCTCCCGGTCCTGCTGGCCGGGGAGCTCCCGGCCGTGGTCGCGGTCCCAGGACTGGCACTCTCCTCCCTCCTCGCCATCGGGCTAGGGCGGCGGCGGGGGCGGCGGAGACCATCGCGGGAGGAGGCGGCTGCGGCGGGGCCGGTAATGGGCCTGGGGGTGCGGGGCGGAGGGTGCCGCCTCGTCCTTTCTCGGGATCGGCCCTCGGGCGGCGGTGGAGGAGTGGTCATCCCGGAGCCCCGCGGATGGAGGGGTCAGAGAGGAGGGAGGCTCCCGGCCGGGGGGCGGGGGCCGAGGCGCGGCTGGAAGGGGAGATGAGGGAGAGGCGTGGGAGACCTCGGCGCGGGGATCGCGGCCGGGCTGCGGGGGCCGCTCTGGGAGCCGAGGGGCGGCCTGGGAGCCGGCACGATTGCGGACGAGGGCTGAGTTGGGAATGGAGTGGAGATGATGCAGGATGGAGGGAAGCGAAGGAAGGGGAGGGGGCAGGGGAAATGTGGGAGGAGTGGCTGGGAATTGGTGAGTAGCGGCAGGAAGGGATGGGGAGGCGGGTAGGGGCTGCAGAAGATCAGAATGAGCGGGAAGGTGAGCAGTCGGGGAGAAATGCCCGGGAGCTGGCGGGTTCGGCGAGGGTGTCCATTAGGGGAACTGGTCACTTGACATGTCCTTTGAGCTCAGGTTCCTGATGTGGCTCCCGTTTTTCTGGCGTTGGGTGGGAAAGCGAAAGCATCCGCTGCCCCGGTTGCTAGCTTGACCTCCTTCACAGGCCCAAGCACGCAGCGGGCTGCCGTTCATCCCTGTTAGGGCCATGGCCTTGGTGCATCGTTTTCAGGGAGTTTAGAGGGGCGTTGTGACACGCCGACCTTTCCTCAGGATCAGATGTTAGCAGTCATCCCCGAGAGACTCAGTGTCCCCTTGCCTTTCAGTTGAAGGTAAAGCCGTGGTTGATTCACATTTCCCTTTTCTGTACTGACTTTCCATCTTGCAAATCTCCAAAGCCGGGGGGATGCTGGCCATACCAGAGCTGTAAGTGAGGGACCATCCTTGAGAGGTAGTGCTCCCTACAGCATCAGTGTTCCAGCTCTTCCTCCACATGATGGTGGTTAGACATGGGGAGCCGCCTCCAACCTTGTGTAGGTCAGGTCGGTAAACACCAGGGAGTGGAGGAGGGGGACTTCCTTGAAATGCCTAGTGTAAAGGATGTTTTCACTTGAGTTCCTTAAAGATTCATGATCCTGGTAATCACAAGGACACACACCCACAGAATTCATAGTGTTTGAGAAATTACCCAGAATATATTGTAAAAGGAGAAATAGGACAGGTCATCTTACTCAGGTTTGTAACACCGAGCAAGCCTTCCTTCCTCTACCCTCGCTACAGATGGCAGCCTGATGATCTTACTGGAGGTTTGGGTCCCTTGACCTTTAGCAGAAGGTTGGGTTCCAGTTGAGCGGAGAGGCTTTCTCTTGTGAGATGTATCTTGTCTTCTTTTCTTTTTTTAATTCATTTAAGAGAGAGGCTTAAAATACCTAAACTTTGCAAATATATTCTGCATCCACAAAATTTGGCGGGGGTCCCTTTTGCTAGTCTCATATTCTGGTTTTAAAGGAATCCTCATAGGCCTGGAAAGGCTTAGATCTAGTGCTAAAGTGCACATACGCTGTAGTTCTATTTTGTTTAGTGCCAGCCTAATAGCTCCTATGTTCTGTGGAAACCTCTGGGAAATGTTCAGCCTGAAACACTTGAGAAGAGACTGTAAAGCATGTAGCCAGAAAGTGTCAGTTGACCTTTCATTTCACTGGCATTTTAAAGCTTTTATAGAGGTTTGCATTGTTTTCTCAAAAGCATTTGTTGTTTGAGTTGCTCATTTTGATAGGTAACTGTCAGTTATTGCCTGCATTGCTAGTCTCACCTTGATTATTTCTGTATGGGCTTAAGTGCTGGGAGCATAACTTATAAGTGTTTCTCTTGAGCACACACATTCATCCTCTGCCAGTTGAGAGGTGGGAACGACTGGTTTCTAATTGTGGTTCGAAAGGAGGTTGATTTGATAAATTGGAAAATGTGGAACCTATTCTAGTTGTAAAGCAAAAGCTCTCCCGGTTTATTCTTGGTGCCCAGTGAACATCTTTATCTAACAAGTTAAGTTCACACCAGAGAGCTGGGCAAGGAGACCTGGACTGAAATTTAAACTTACATTGGTTGTCAGGACAGAATCGGCGGAGTTATTTTATTTTAATAATGGAGTAAATGTCAGAGAACATGATGCTAACAGACCCTGTGTAGGGTGAAGAGGACTAGTATGCATGCTATTTACACATATAGCCATAGATTATTCTCAGGCATTTTAAGGAAAATATTTTTCTCCTGGGTTTCACATCTTTTTATTTTTCTTCCTTATCTACCTTTTGTCACTGCCCAGAAACCAGCATTCCAGGAGTGGAAGGGGAAAGACATAGATAAAAGGGTGGAGGAGAATGGAGTAAGCAGCCAGCAGTCCTCGCTGCACCAGAGTGCACAAACATTAACCTAACAGAAATGACACTGCTAAGGGCAGCGGGGTGAAGTCAGTGGAGAATTTTGATGGTAAAGAGGATTTGGGTCCTAGCCAATTTGGTTCAGTGGTTAGAGTGTCGGCCCTGGGACTGAAGGGTCGTGGCTTGATTCTGGTCAAGGGCACGGACCTCGGTTGTAGGCTCCACCAATTGATATGTCTCACATCGATGTTCTCTCTCCCCCTTCCTTCCACTCTCTCTAAGAATCAATGGAAAAAATACCTTCGGGTGAGGATTAACAACAACAAAAAAGCTTTGGCCCATACCCAATGTCACTCAGGGCTTAAAGAGAAATATTCAAAGGGAATCCACGCTGCCAGAAGCGAAGGGGACCCCCAGGAAAGAACCAGAAGTGCATGTCATAAATCCTGGAATAATTCCAGGCTGAAGAGAAGGCCAGATTTATTTCAGGAATGTGCTTGTCTGAGACCTATATGGCTGATGTTTCTTAAGTCCATCTTGTGACTTAAAAAGGCAGGTTTTTTAATTAAATCTGGATAGATCTGGTTGACTATATAGAACTTACCCAAGAGCAGGCAAATTGCTTCCAAGAGACACAATCCAGAAAAGCAGCCCTGTAGCAGGCATCTCTTGACACCACACAGTATATTCTGGGTAGCTGCTCTGCAGTAATGCAGCCCTGTCTTTCTGGGCAGTGTTGTTATTCCTGCTGCATAATTAGCAACTAGTGAGATCATAGTCTGGGGAGATTCTGGCATTACTGAGGCAAAGCAGGGAGGCTTCGTATCGTCACATGTGGCCCTGGCCCTGACAGCATTTCTGTCGAGCAGATTCATATCCTTGGGAACTAAAGTCCAAAGACAGAGGAGATTTGTATCCCAGACCCCTTGGTTGGGTGACAGCTTGTTGAAGACACTGCCTGCCATATTGATGTAACCAGAGTAAATTGTCATTTCTTTTGCTATTTGTTTTCCCTTTGCTGGTTTCTTTACAGAGGGCAAAGGTGGTCAGGCTAAGTTTTCCTTGCACAGAGGAGGACGATAGACCAGCGGAACCCTATTTTATGGAGCAGTATGAGATTGGGAAGGATTCTGGGGTTTGAAGCCAGTGGAGATGCTAATCTGCAGTCCATTCTTTAGAACCAAAGTTGACCTTTCTAGGAGCCTGGAGAGACATTTTATACTTGTGAAGATCTGGGTAAAGTGTTTCCTTGGCTGCTGATGTACTTTGAAATTGAGAGCCTAGAGCAGTATTTCCCAAAGTGTTTTCCAAGAATCATTTATTTTCCCCCTAAAATACTCTGGAAAACAAAGGGCCCCATATTCAGGTGTGCGGAAACACTGTGTTGTGTTTTCTCCCACCCTTCCCCATGCTCATTAGCATGTTAAAAGCCTCTAAGAGGTTCTCCCATAAACAGTTTTCTAAACTGTTTTGACACAGCAGTCCTATTTTCATGCAAAAACTATTAATATCCGCCCTAGCTGGTTTTGCTCAGTGGTTGGGGCTTTGGCCCTGGACCCGAGTTCCTGGTTTGATTTTGGTCAGGGGCACGTACCTTGGTTGCTTGAATTAGTTTATTTCATATATATACTTTGGGAAATGCCAGGCTGTATCTTCACTAGGAAAAATAATTGATCTAGTCTAGATTTAGGCACAGCCTAATTCTGCTTTTGGTGCCTGGTCCCTCCCCCGGCCCTTGGAGCGCTCTCCTGTGTGTGATCTGGAGAGCAGCTCCTGTTATCCCCAGCTAATGAAGCCTAAGCCCAGACGGCTTGGAACCAAAGGCCTTCACTCCACTGGGAAAGGTGCTGTGGTTACTCATCTCATTACGCTGAGGGTGACTGAGACTGAAAGGGCTGAAGGGAAACAAAAGTAGGAGAACGTTGGCCAGAATCAGTAGAGAAATGACCTAATCTGGAGAAAGCAGACATCGGTGCTAGCTCAGGTGCTTTCTCTCTTCAGTCGGAGACCTTTACTCACAGGCTTGGGAGGGGTCTGTCTGAGGACAGGAATGCTGATTCCCTGGGCAGAATCCTCATGCACCTGGCTGCCTGGTGGTGAACAGGGGCTTTGGGGCCAACTCGGTGGGCTCCCCAAGGAAACCCCTTTGAAACCAATGGATGCATTCACGGGCTCGGGTCTCAAGAGGAAGTTTGATGATGTGGATGTGGGCTCATCAGTGTCCAACTCCGATGATGAGATCTCCAGCAGTGACAGTGCCGACAGCTGCGACAGCCTCAATCCTCCTACGACTGCCAGCTTCACACGTGAGTGGGCCACTCCCCGTGTACACCCATGTCCCCAAGCATCAGAGCCCATTGCGGCTCTTGAGAGACACTTCTTCTAACCAGCTTGGGGATTTCCCCTGAATCATAATCTTCCCCACTCTTAGGCTCCGCCTTGCTCCAATATCGTAGACTTCAGTCTGATTTATTCCAGCTGATTTTACTTGTGCTTGGTTTTTGGGTCCCCGGGGTGGGGTGGATTAAATGGAAGGAGGAGAGGCTTCCCCACCAGAGTCCAATAGGGTTCTGTGATATTGTAGCTCTATCAGGACATAAATCCTTATAGCCTGAACAACTGGGGCAACTCCAGGTTTCTTAATTCTTCGGCCCCAATTAGTTTCTTGGAAAGAACTTTTGATACTGTAGATCAGGGGTTGCCAGTGGACCAAATCTGGCTCACTGCCTGCTTTTGTAAATAAAGTTTTATTGGAACACAGCCACACCCATTGTCTGTTATTGCCTTCATGCTACAATGACAGAGTTGAGTAGTTGCAACAGAGCCCTGATGACCTGCAAAACATAAAATACATACTTCCTGGCCCTTTACAGAAATTTGCTCTTCCATTATACAACACTATGTAATAGAATTTTCTGTTATGAAAAAACTGTTCTATATCTGCACTGTCTGCAGCCATTAGCCACACGTGGCTATTGAGCACTTGAAATGAGATTAGTGTAACTGAGGAGCTGAGTTGTAAATGTTATTTCATTTTAATTATATTTAAATTGACACATGTAGCTGCTGTGTTGAACAGTGAAGCTATACAGGTTGTTTTATCCTGAGAAGATTACCTAGAGATCCTCTTCCCAACTGATGTCTAAAAATAGACTTTGTGGTCTGCTTGGGTGAAGTCAGGCACTGTGGACCAGCTGATGCTCAAAGTCCTTTCCAACTATGCATTTATGATTTGAAAATTAGAACTATCTCTAGGTACAGGGAGCACCTTTGGAGAAGAGTTGAGAGCCTAGATGGATGAGAAAGAGTAAGGTCCCCACACAGGCCATCTCTGGGTTAATAAAATGCTCTGTGTTCCCTTCTCAGCCACCTCCATCCTGAAGCGGCAGAAGCAGCTACGGAGGAAGAATGTACGCTTTGACCAAGTGACTGTGTACTACTTTGCCCGGCGCCAGGGTTTCACCAGTGTGCCCAGCCAGGGTGGTAGCTCTTTGGGTATGGCCCAGCGTCATAACTCTGTACGCAGCTACACGCTCTGTGAGTTTGCTCAAGAGCAGGAGGTGAACCATCGAGAGATTCTTCGTGAGCACCTGAAGGAAGAGAAACTCCACGCCAAGAAGATGAAGGTGCCTAGGGGACCTGGGGCTGGTACTTCCCATGTGCCAGTATAAAGTGGGAAACCATCTAGGTCTATTTATTTATTTATTTCCTAATATCTTTTTTTACTGTTGCCCTTCCTTGGCTTGTAGATTCCAGATCTTTCTAGTGAAAGGCTCAGATATGGATGGAATCAGATCTCAGTCTAAGACCCTTCTTTTTGTGTCTGGTGTGGTGTCTACCAGAGATAGCAAAATGGCTTCTCTAGAATTTCCTGCCTTTGCCAACCTCAGCAAATTTTTTGATTTATTTTTTTAATATATTTTTATTGATTTCAGAGAGGGAGAGAGAGAGATAGAAACATCAATGATGAGAGAGAATCATTGATCAGCTGCCTCCTGCATGCCCCCCACTGGGGATCGAGCCTGCAACCCGGGCATGTGCCCTTGACTGGAATTGAACCCGGGACCCTTTGGTCCATAGGCTGACACTCAATCCACTGAGCCAAACTGGCTAGGGCAGCAAATTTTTTTTAAAGTCTTAAAATGTGAATGAAGACATTCAAGCTTGCCACCCCCAGAACCTGTGGAAGCACAATGTTTCAATGTCTTATCAAATGAATACCTGTTGCCCTCATGCACAGGGCAGGTTTGGGATCTTTTGTATTGTCTGAAAGGATCTTGCTATTTCTGTAACCCCCATCACCTCTAGGTGATAGTCTTTCGGACATAAGCAACAGCATTACCAAATGGTTATTTCAATTTGCAGAGCACTGTGTCTGCCACTGATGCTGCACCAGCTCAAGTATAGGAGGAGAGCAGGCCTGGAAGAAGGCCCATCTTAGATTGCTATCTTAGCACTGCTGGGTACTCCACAGCCATAGTTTCCACCAGTCTGCAAAAATTTCCCCCAGAGCTCCTAGTTCCAAATTTGGAGAACACTGTTTTAGGCCTGGCCAAGTTTCTTGCAGATCCGTATTGAAATAGGCGCCTGCATTATTGCCAAGGTTGTGGGTGAAATCCTAATGAGACACACTTCAGTGTGGTAGGGTTGGAGAACTGGTGGCAGAGGATGTAGGTTAACTGGATGTCATTGCTTTCTTCCTTTGAGAGTTCCGTGTCTACTTTCCTCAGCTACTCCTAAAGCTGTACACCTGTTCTTCTAACTAGAATGACATTCAGGCTTCCCTCTCTGTGTCTGAGGAATTCCATCACTGACACCATCACCTCCCTGCCGCTATAGCAGCAGCTGGGCAAATAAACACTGTTCTCATCGTGTGCAATGAAGGCTTTCTTCTCTTTCCCCAAGAAGAATCCCTCTCCTAAATCTGATAGAGGAATGATCTGTCAAAACATAACATCCTATGGCCTCCCTCGTAGGAGGTCTAGAGACAAATTGAAGGCTTGAGGTATGGGGTTCCAACTTACTAGCAGATATAGTGAACAGCAATGATGGCATCTAAGCCATCTATCCATATCGAGAAAAAAACCCTTACTTTGCCCTTCCCAAGTCCAGTTTATTCTTTTCTTAGAAATTTTTCTTATCTTTAGCATTCTATAGGGGAGGCAGTTGGTCTCAAAAATATATATTCTGTATCTCCCATATACCATCTAATATTTATTTTCCTTTTGGGCTGCCACCAAAAAGAAAGAAAAAAGCTGCTGGTGCCTGGCCGGTGTGGCTCAGTTGGTTGAGTGTGGTCCCGTGCATGGAAAGGTTGCCCTTTGATTCACGGTCAAGGCACATGCCCAGGTTGCAGATTCAGATCCCAGTCAGGGTGTGTATGGGAGCCAACTGGTTGATGTTTCTCTCCCTCTCGCTCTAAAATCAATTAAAAAAAAAAAAGCTGCTTTTCATCTGCAGCTTTAGTTACCAATAATTTTTCTAATACATCCATTACTTTTTTTTTTTTTGCCTTTTATCCATATGGAATTCATTATGAATAGTATGAATTGGGAATCTAACCTTATTTTTTTCCAAAAGACTAGTCCCTTGTCCCAAAACCATTTAATTATTAGAAGGCTCTTCGTCAGTGATAAGAAATGTCAGCCCTGTCATGACATATTAAATCCTCACATCTTCATGGGTTTCTTTCTATTGCATCTGTAATCTTTCCTTTGAGAGGATAGCAGCAGTGAGGGTGATTAGGAAGCCAGCCCTGGTGAAACAGACAGGAGCAGCCGAAGGCCTGCGGAAAGGCCCTTGTGGTTGGCCTGCTGGTACAGAAATCATAGAGTAAGGAGTCCTCGGAAGCACCACTTTCTCTCCTCATTTTTGCTGCCCACAACCAACCAACCAACAAACAGTGTGTGGCTTATTCCCCAGGTGTGTTGCGTCACACCTCTCCTAGGAGTTGAGTTGCTCCTTTACCAGCACTGCCCTGTGGCTGTCTGATGAAATAAGCCCAACCCTCCACTAGCTGGCTTTCATCCTGCCAGCAGCTTCCAGAGCCCTGGGGATTATGAGGCCTCGTTTTCTTTACTGGAATTCTCTAGTGAGTTCTCAGTCACATCCAGCTATGGATTGTCTTTACCCTGTCCTCCCACTAAGAGTCCCTTTCCTGGCTGGCTGTCCCTCTTGGCCCAGAGAACCCAGCTCTGCCTGGATTATATATTGCACCCCACCTCACATAAAACTTTTCTTTGAAATCAAGTAAAAATGATTAGAGAAAGAAAGCAAGGGCTTACAAGCCATTAATAATTTGCTTATATTTTTCTCCTTCCAATAAAATGCAACTCTCCTGGGTATGAATAGGTAAGTTTTCACATTGGGAATTTAGGTTCATTGACAAAGATCTGGTAGCCTTGTACTACACTTTAATGAAATCTACTTCCCAAAATGTGGTTTTGAGTCCTTTAGGGGGTGCAAATTGAAGGGTGTTTGCAAGCTTATCTATACACCAGGGAACATCCAACCATTAATACACCACATGTGCTGTGGCTACTGTATGAGCATGGGTGCACAAAGTTGTTGGACCATGCTACTCCAGAGGCTCCCTGTGCGGAGGCTCGTGCTGGTAACGCTGTAGGCTAACCTCTCCTTCCTGTCTCTCGGCAGCTGACCAAGAATGGGACAGTGGAGTCAGTGGAGGCCGATGGCCTGACACTGGATGATGTTTCTGATGAAGACATCGATGTGGAAAATGTGGAGGTGGACGATTACTTCTTCCTACAGCCTCTGCCTACCAAACGGCGACGGGCCCTGCTGAGGGCTTCTGGGGTCCACCGCATTGATGCCGAAGAGAAGCAAGAACTTCGAGCCATCCGCCTGTCACGGGAAGAGTGTGGGTGTGATTGTCGGCTGTACTGTGACCCAGAAGCGTGTGCCTGTAGCCAAGCTGGGATTAAATGCCAGGTCAGTCCACGACAGGCCTGAGATGGTGTACCTGCACTAGAGTCAGGGTGTGTGGCGTGGGTGCCAATGAACCTGGAAGGCTACCCATCAAAGGGTGGCTTCCCTGTGACTGAACACTCCCCAGTTCCACAGCCCTCCTCCACCAGCCAAGGAAACCAGCATGACAGGATTCAGGCTGGGAGGCCTGTCATCTTGTCTGTGTTTTATACCTTGGGGCTGATAAACAGCTGTCAGCAAATGGAGGAACAGGGGTTAGTAAGTTAACACTTAGTAGCCGTTTCCTAAATATTGATTGGTTCCTTGAGATAAAAGGAAGCAGAAACATGAGGTAGGCCTTTAGATTTTATCTTGCAATCACTTATTCACAGTGCGTTCTCTCCACTTCTTTAAAAATCAAAATAGTTCTTGGATGCTGTCATTCAGGATCACATTGGGCCTGGCAGAGCTTAAATTCCTAGTGTCCATAAAGAAAGCATCATTCCCTCAGCCGGCCCATCGTCTCCCAGCTGGCCCGTTGATGGACAGCTTGGAAGACACATTCAATTAAAAACAGCAGTACCATCCCAAAGATTGGAAGGTATATGGGACTTGTATACTGAGGATGTGGATGCTGAGTCCTTGTAGTTGAACTTCTGACCAACCTTTTCTTTCTGGACCTAGCCAAATACTGCTTGTCAAACTGAAGTCCCATAATGAATCCGTCTACGATCCACAGACCTGAGGACAGCCCTGATAATTAGACTGTTCCTAAGTGAAATGGAGAGTTCTTTAGGTTGACATTATAGAAGACATTGTATATTTGTACATAGCAGCTTACTCGTGTTTTAATTTTATTTTTGCTATTTTCCCCCCTTTTGGGGATCCGAAAGAGAAAAGGAAGTAGAAAGCATCTCCTTTCTAGATGGTCTTGTTCTGTAACTTAGTTGTCTTGGTAACTTCTTCAGAAACAAACTGGTCAACCATCAGGAAAAATGAAGCTGGCTCTGTTATTTTGTTAGGGGTCCTTTTGCTTAGTTTCCCGAGAATGCATTTCTTTGGACTAGCTGGGACTTCTCCTCCCTTCCCATGCCTGTCATCACAGAAAACAAGAGGCTTAGGCCCCAGCATTTTGTTTTCTCAGTAAACCAGGTAAGTCTGGAAAAGTCTTTGAGGCACGTAAATTTCTTCTGCTCTGAGATGTGTTGGCATTTAGAGAGGCATCTCTGGACTTTTGAACTTGGAAGGGCCCTTTGATATAAATTTGTCTACTTTTTGTTTAGAAGAGAAAACAAAGCCCTAGTCAGTGGTGGCGAACCTTTTGAGCTCGGCGTGTCAGCATTTTGAAAAACCCTAACAACCCTAACTTAACGCTGGTGCCGTGTCACATATAGAAATTTTTTGATATTTGCAACCATAGTAAAACAAAGATGTATATTTTTGATATTTATTTTATATGTTTAAATGCCATTTAACAAAGAAAAATCAACCAAAAAAATGAGTTCGCGTGTCACCTCTGACACGCGTGTCATAGGTTCGCCATCACTGCCCTAGAGAGAGAAGCGAGGCTGCACTGGAAACACAAGCAGTCTGATAACTACCCTCTGTGCTGTGCTGTGCACTAGCTCACACTGCATTTTGTTTTGAATTGGCTGTGTCTCTTGTTTTTTCTTTAAAATACATTTTATTGATTTTTACAGAGAGGCAGGGAGAGGGATAGAGTGTTAGAAACATGGATGATGGATGAGACAGAAACATCCATCAGCTGCCTTCTGCACGCCCCCTACTGGGGATCGAGCCTGCAACCAAGGTACTCGCCCTTGACCAGAATCCAACCCAGGACCCTTCAGTCCGCAGGCCGACGCTCTATCCACTGAGCCAAACCAATTAGGGCTGGCTGTGTCTCTTGTAAGAAGACCACAAATCCCACCTGCTTGTTTTGCCAGCTAAAGTCTCCTGTCGCCATTGTTAAACTGATGGTCTCCTCTTGCCTCAATCTCCTTGTCCCCTTCTCAGGTGGATCGCATGTCCTTTCCATGTGGCTGCTCCCGGGATGGCTGTGGGAACATGGCTGGGCGCATTGAATTTAATCCAATCAGAGTTCGGACTCATTACCTCCACACCATCATGAAGCTGGAGCTGGAGAGCAAGCGGCAGGTGAGCCGCCCACCCGCCCCAGATGAGGAGCCCTCACCCACCGCCAGCTGCAGCCTGACAGGAGCCCAGGGCTCTGAGACACAGGACTTCCAGGAGTTCATTGCTGAGAATGAGACTGCAGTGATGCACCTACAGAGTGCGGAGGAACTGGAGCGGCTCAAGGCAGAGGAAGACTCCAGCGGCTCTAGTGCCAGCGTGGACTCCAGCATAGAGAGCCTGGGTGTGTGTATCCTGGAGGAGCCCCTGGCTGTTCCTGAAGAGCTGTGCCCAGGCCTGACAGCTCCCATTCTCATCCAGGCTCAGCTGACCCCAGGCTCCTCCGTCCTGTGTTTTGCTGAGAACGCGGACCACCCAACTGCCTCAGCAGCGACCAGCCCATCCTACTTGAACAGCGGGCCCCTGGTCTATTACCAGGTGGAGCAGAGGCCAGTCCTGGGGGTGAAAGGAGAGCCTAGTCCAGGAGAAGCCCCACCCTCTCTCCCCAAGGAGAAGGATCTCAATGTCTTCTCTGTCCCTGTTACCTCACTGGTGGCTTGTAGCCCCACAGACCCAGCCCTGTGTCAACCAGAGGCAGGGAAAGCATCCACTCTAGAAGCACTGGTGCCCGAAGATTGTATCCCTGAGGAGCGGGAGAATGAAGACTTTCGCCCCTCGTGGTCGCCCTCAAACCTCCCCTTCGGCACGGACAGCGAAGAGGGCTGTGTGGTGGAGAAGACCCCACAGCCGGGCGAGGACCGGCCCCCTGGAGATTCGCCCCTGGACCTCCCTCTGGCAGTGTGATGCGGGCATGCAGATTCTGCCTCTTACCCGTTCTCTATTTATTCCCTTATTTTATCTAGCACCATTTCAGAAAACTGTAGAAGCAGCTGCTGCTCCCATGTTATTTTATTGGGGTCTTTGAGGGGGCGGGTGGGAAAGGATTGTTTATACAGTATTTTTTAAAGGTAAACAGAACCAAGGAGACCAGCCCCAGCTTGATCTGGGGACAGTCTTGGGGCAGAGAAGGCCACATAGTGCTGAATGCTGTTTTCTGGGCCATTGGAACAAAGAACTAGGATCTCATGGGAGACACTAGGTAACTCAAGCAGCTATTCTTTTCACAGGGATCAGGATACATAATTTGAACAGCACGGCAAAGCCCCTCTCCTAAGCTCCAGGCGGATACAAGCTCCTTTTTCTCGGTGGTTACTGATAGCCCATTTTGGTGTGTTACACAGTTGGAAATGTCACCTGGAGAGGAGGGGGGAGAAGGGTCTCCACTTCTGTACAAAACCTCCAGGATTTTAAAAAATTTAACCTGCCTTCCCCAGCCCCCTATTTGGTAAATAAGTTAATATTTGACATGTTTGGTGTTCTCTGACCTGTTCCCCACACTGGGGATTCCTGGTCTGTAACTTGAATTGTTTCTTTCTCATGTTCTTAGGTACTAGAGTTTAACTTGTCTGTCTCTCCACCCCACCCCCCCCAACCCCCCGCCACACACACACACCCCTCCTTCCTTTGAAGAAAAAGAGCTATATTGGCTGGGGATGTGGTATTAAGAGCCCGTGTCTTTGTGCGTCTGACACTAGCTCTGTCGGGCAGCTCTAGGCTGAGCTCACACGTCCCATGGGAGGCATATGGAGCGTTAAGTGTGTCCAAAGGAGGCAGCAGGAAGTTTGCTGTCTGGAAAGATGAGGACTTCGTGCCATGCTTACTGTCACCCAGGTGTTCCCCCCCTTGGGGAGATTTGAGCTTTAAAGGAATATAGGATGTGGCATTCTAAGGTCACCAGGTTTTTTTTGTTTTTTGCTTCTATATCCTTGGTGGTCCTTGGACATACAGGGTTGGAGAGTTCTTATGCTATTCCAGTTCACTCCCAAGAATTGCAAATATTAGACCGCTCCATCTTGATATCTAAAAATTAGAAGTCAAATCAATTGCTAAATGCTACATATAACTCCCAGGTTCCAAAGAAGTCAAGTTCTAATGATAAAGCTTTGAGGTCTGTAGAGCAGGACTCCAGTTCAGTTCTTGCCTCCATCTGGGGATGCCATTCCTTTTCCTCTCATGTCCACCTATGTTCCTGGATGTGCTCCATTGACCACCACTGAATTCACTAGCAAAGTTGTCTCTGTCTCTGTTTTAAAGTGGCGGCAGCAGGAAACAAAGCACCCTGGCATCCCTTACACCATGCTTTGCTTCTAGTATGGTTTAACCAGGAAAGAACAAAGTGAAAATGTTTTTGGTGGGGGAGATAACTATTCCTACTTATCTCCATCATAAAGCCTTTTCTTGTGGGATATTATAGCCCTGGTGTCTTAAAGCAACCTTCATGTATATCAGTAGCATTTTACCTATAAAATCGCTAAACTGAGCCTACTAGGCCTTTTACTTAACAGATAGATCTTTTAACCCATTCTTCCTCCCGTTGGTGTTTTGCAGGGTTTGGAGAGTTCTTCAGTAATAGGTCCTTAGCACTCTCCATCCTCGAGCCTCACAAGGCAGAGTTGAGAGTCTTAGGTACTGAGATCTAGATGCTGTCCCAGGCTGAGCTGCTGCACTCCCTTAGACTGGTCCCCTCAAATACAAGACTGAAGCTTAATTGGGAATAGGACTCAATGGAGAAGAATCTTTCTGAAAGTTTGTGTTGAAAGGGGAGGGTGAGCATTGTACATTCCCTCCTTAGGAAGAATTCCTAATCTAGGAAGTGATTCCAGGTGCTCAATAAGAGACACATTATTAGCCTTTGGGATCAAAACAAGAATTTGAATCTATTAAACTCATTGCCAACCCCCAAAATAATGATTTTCTGAATAAACCAGTTTCTTAATCTAAATCCTACATTAACCCTATAATTCTGATTCACACTGATCCCAAGCTTTTAAATGCTAAGTGTCGGCATTTAGCATTAACTGTCTTGTTAAGCAAAGGGCCTTTTCTACAATCTCGTCCATCTCATTTCTGGTGCTACTCGAGCTGGACACAATTAGAGCTCATGGTTGCTAGAAAAGCTAGGCCTCTGATCACAGAAGCAGATAGCTTCAACCCCACTCAGTCCAGGCCTAGATAAAAGAAATTACTTTTTATCGCAACTCATTCCTTTCTCACTGTATACTGGTAGTATTTTCAATGTGAATCCAAAGCTTGTCTGGTTTTCTGGAAACAATTTTTTTTTTTTTTGCCTTTCAGGTCCTTCACATTGTGATAATGTTGTATTTAAAAGAGAATATTTAAATGTAAAATTAAAGAAATATTCAAAAGAATGGTGTGTTACTCTTGATCTTGGCAGACCACAATCCAGTTACTTGTTAGAAAAAGGATGCCTCTCCAGCCTTATATATAAAATACATTAGGTCAGTTAGGGATTAATGTCAACAACAGAGGTGTTTTATGATGGAAAAACAGAACATTCTCTTTGGAGCATCAAGAGCTTGAGTTGCCGCCTCTGCGCTTATGCACCTCATCGGCTGAAACAGCCTTCATCCTGCCCTGCTGAAGCTTTCCCTGTCTGTAGTCCCTACTCTTGGGGCCCAGTTTCTAATTTCATTACTTTCTATGTGTATGTACAATTTCCTATTCCTAGTTAGCATTTAAAATCCAGCAAGAGGATCAACTCAAATCGGTTCATAACTTCCATCCCATCAGAAAGTTCTATTCCATTCTCTCCCCAATAGTCAGGTTGAGTCTCGGAGCCTTAGCAAAATGATTAAAGTATGCATAAGTGATTTCAGACAGTCTTTACTTGGGTTAAAAACAGAGCTTCATGCATTTACAGTAAGTTACTACAGGCCACTGATATGCCTTCACAGACAAAAGCTAAGCCCAACCTACTGTCTTGATGCAGGTCTCCTGGGCGGGTTAGTACTGTACAGGTTTGATCCATGGCCAAAGGCAGCCATTTTCAGTTAAAGTTGGATGGCTGCAACACAGTGGAGGTAGCGAAGAGTTTAAGATCCACAGGTTGTGGCACAGACCAGAGATTAAGACAAGGGTGTGAAGGTTATAAATATTGGGTAAGGAGTCAAGAAGGACTTGTAGTTCCTTGTATCTTGTCCATTAGAATGTTCCCATACGTTATTCACTAAAAAAAAGTAAAGGTGGTAAAAGGATTTGAAAAGGAAAGAGGTTAACCCACTGAGGGGGACAAAAAATTCCTATTTTTGGTCATCTCAGGGTTGAGGGGAGCATCATAGTGCATGCATGTAAGTGCTCTAGTTTAAGTAGTGCTGTTCCCCTCACCGGCCAGAAAATGGCTTGAACAAAAACAGCTCAAAAGAATATGGCAGTGAATAAGTCCTAGGCCAAAGGAGGATTCCCACCTGGGCCGAAGCTCACTTCCCAGAATCTGAAATTAGCATATTACAGTAACAGCCTAGTACAGTGGCTGCTTCCAGTGTCAGTTAATTCCAAGGAAGTTGGGATGAAGCTCCCAAGGGCTACCCCCGGTAAGAGGGTTTGTTTCAGTTCCAGCTCCCACGAGTGTACCACACGGAAGCTCGGGCACCGGCTCCTCTGCCTCACATCTAACGGCACCCAGACTCTGCCGACAAGTGCTGGTTGGTCCCACGCTGCTGGACTGTGACGGCAGGACAATGCCATCGCTCCATGCTCACTCAGCGCCGTGTCCCAATGTAGTTGGTGGAAAGCAGGACCACGTTGTGAAGCAAAAGAGACAGCTCAGCTTCTGAAAACACCATCAGTGTTAATGGTTTGGCCAGGGAACAGTCTGCCTTCTAACTGCCTTGGTTTACAGGTCTTGAAACTGGAGGTGGGAAGCCCAGTGCAGGGAAGTAATGACGTTAAGGGGCTGTTGTTCTCAAGTTCCCCTTCTTCATTCCAGTATCTGCATGTATGCTTTTCTTTCCTTCCACCACATATGCCTACCTACTCATCCTCATTTCTGGACTCTCCTGTGACAGCAGTAGAAAACGCAGAGATAGTAATGGTACCAAACATCACTGCCACCCTTGGGATTCTTCTGGTAGAAGCTGGTGCTCTGGGGACATTTCTCAGCTCTACGGAGATTAGCAGGCCTACCCTCATATTCACAGGCTTAAAAAACATCAAGGCCTACCTAGCCAAAGGTTCCAAACAGGGGACCCACCAGCCTAATACCTACCCTTAGAAACTTTCTGATCAGCCAGCTGAGTGGTTTTGTGTTTTTTTTAAATTTAGACTAGTACTTCTCAACTAGGACAATTTGGCTCTCCCCTCAACTGGGACATTTGGCAATGTCTGGAGACACTTTGGGTTGTCAGAACTGGGGCGAGGGGGTACTACTGGCATCTAGTGGCTATAGGCCAGGAATGTTGCTAAACATTCTATAATGCACGGGACAACCCTCAGGATAAAGCTTCAATAAGGCCAAGGTTGAGAAACTGCTTTAGACAAGCACGTGCTCATGCTCATGCTTCCACAATCCCCACTACTCACTCCATCTTGCAAGGTCCACTTCGTGACCTGCTTGTAGGCTAATGAGTCTGTGCCTTTCATTTAGACATACATGTAGATAAGGGTCTCACAGTACTCAATAATTAACTCCAAAATAATCTTAGAATAAAATACAAAAATGACTTGGATTTTGGTTATGCAATAGGGGTTTGTCTAACCTTTCAGGTTGCAGGAAATCTGCAGCCATTCTGCCAGCCAAGTTCGACACCGCTCTTCAGCAATATGGGTAGAATTCAAGCCACGAAGATAACAAGCCTGTAACACTCAGAAGAGAAAGGTCCTTAATAATCAGAGCGAGTATGCCCAGGAAGTGTAAACCTACAACCCCAAATCTCCTTTAAATTAAGTTACAACCTCATCCCAAGAGGATGGCGTTCTCCATGGCAATCTGAACTATGATGACAAGCAAAGAGGCCTGTATAATCTAAAACAGTAGGTCTAAAGTATAATGCCTTTTTTTTTTTTTTTTAAATCCTCACCCAAGGATATTTTCTCCATTGAGTTTTTTAGAGAGTGGAAGGGAGGAAGTGGACGGGAGAGAAAGAGAAACATCGACGTGAGAGACACATCAGTTGGCTGCCTTCTGCACGCGCCCCGACCTGGGCTGGGGATTGAGGCTGCAATTAAGGTATGTGCCTTCGGTCCATGGGCCGGTGCTCTAACCACTAAGCAAAATCGGCCAGGACTAATGTCCTTGGTTTTTGGTGGTTTTTTTAAAGTATATTTTTTATTGATTTCAGAGAGGAAGGGATAGGGAGAGATAGATTGAAACATCTATGATGAAAGAGAATCACTGATCAGTTGCTTCCTACATGCCTCCTACTGGGGATCGCAACCTGGGCATGTGCCCTTGACCAGAATCGAACCTGGAACCCTTCAGTCTGCAGACTGGTGCTCTATCAACTGAGCCAAACCTGCTAGGGCAATGGTCGGCAAACTCATTAGTCAACAGAGCCAAATATCAACAGTAAAACGATTGAAATTTCTTTTGAGAGCCAAATTTTTTAAACTTAAACTATATAGGTAGGTACACTGTTATTAACTTAATTAGGGTACTCCTAAGGCTTAGGAAGAGCCACACTCAAGCGGCCAAAAAGCTGCAGTTTGCCGGCCACGGGGCTAGGGCATTGTCCTTGATTTTTGAAGGACCAGAAGAAAAGAAACATAAACCATAATGAGTGTGGACAATTCCTTCCCAGTAGTTAAGTTCACTGAGGGGGAAAAAAAGACCTAGAAATGAGGTAAGAGAATCAAGAGCTTGGATTTTGCTATAACAAGCAAGACATAACGAGCTCTCTGTAAGCTCCCAGTCCTGAAAACTCAAAAGTCCACCAAGAATTGAGGGTTGATATTGCAATGAAGCTCTTACCGATTTCACTTCCTGATCAGTCAGCTGGTTAATCCCCAGCTTTGCCAAAGCCTTGTCTAGTTGATGAATCACAGTGGTATGAGTCTTTAAACGATGTCTTAACAAGGGAGAAGGCAGGTAAGTTGTGAGAAGCATGGCTCGACTCAAGGCTTTCTGTGATATTAACAACACAGGAGGAGCAAGTCAACATAGTAGTATTACTGCAAGCAAAGACCTGAAGTTGTGAAAAAGAGAAAGCCGTAGAGTACTCACTATTTGCGAAGCATGGAGTTGATTCATGCCCAGAGGATGGTTAGAGAAACTCTTTCTCAGAGCTAGGATCTCATGTATTGCTGGGTGGGTACCACGCTGTATCTTGGGAGAGGTAAGAGATTGGCAGATGTTAACAAAGTCCTGACTAGCCTTCCTATCTGATTTTCATGCACACTGGATCTAACAAGATTCCTAGTTTGGAACAAGGGTTAATTGGAGGAATACCTTGGTGCACAGCTCTGTCATATGCCACCGGAGTCCTTCATCAGAAATGAGAGGGATAACTTTTTCCAAATAAGAAAGGATTTCTGGGTGGGACTTTTTCCGGATATCATGATAAATATGTAAGAAATCAATTTGTTGCTTTGGGGTCCAGAAATGTCTGATCAGCAGTTGCCTAGGAAACAGGTACCTGAAAGGAAAGGAACAACAAAGTCACTTGCTGACATTGGCATCTTTCAAAGTGAATAAAGAAAGCATTTGACAGACATGAATAATAAAAAGAGATGGAGACACTGCTTTGCTAACACACTGTCTCAGACCAAGGTTTAAGATACACTAAAGTACAATTTCAAGCAACATTACTGAGGTTCTGTGAAAGGAAGTAGTAGTGGAAGCAGCACACATGCAGCAATCAGATAAAATGACTCTTTTTGAACTAAAGCAAGTGAAGCACATATTTTGGACAGAATTACAGAGCTGGACATGGTATGTAATGTTGACAACCTCAAACAGTAACACAGTCCTTAGGTGTATACAAAATGGAAAAGACAAATTTGCTTTTAATTAATTTCTCTATTTGTGAGGTGGGTTTAAAACATGGCCATAGCCCTAGCAGGTTTGGCTCAGTGCATAGAGCATCAGCCTGTGGACTGAATGGTCCCGGGTTCGATTCTGGTCAAGGGCACATGCCTGGCTTGCAGGCCCGATCCCCAGTAGGGGGGCGTTCAGGAGGCAGCCAATCAATGATTCTCTCTCATCATTGATGTTTCTATCTCTCTCTCCCTTCCTCTCTGAAATCAATAAAAATGTTAAAAAACAAAACAAAAAACATGGCGACAAATTCTCTGGCACTCCTTTTTTTTTTTTTTTTTTTTAAATATATTTTATTGATTTTTTACAGAGAGGAAGGGAGAGAGATAGACAGTTAGAAACATCAACCAGCTGCCTCCTACACATCTCCCACTGGGG